TTCTTATGTCAGTCTTACCTTACAAAGTGACCTTAAACTTATGTAATGGTATGACATATTTCTTACGTCAGTCTTACGTAAGAAAGTGACCTAAAATGTATGTAATAATATGACGTATTTCTTACGTCAGCCTTACGTAAGAAAGTGACCTTAAACTTAGGTAATATTATGACAGATTTATTACGTCAGTCTTACGTAAGACAGTGACCTAAAACTTATGTAATATTATGACAGATTTCTTATGTCAGTCTTACGTAAGAAAAGTGACTTTAATGTTACGTCACGATATGACTTTAATATTACATAAGATGTACGTAATATGTAAGTTATTTAATTACATCATATAAAAGTCACGTTTTGGGTCAGTATTATGTCACTATGACGTAAAAATTGTATTACCTAGATATGATCTACGTGTTACGTAAATTTTAGGTCATAAGTCACGGTTTGGTTCACTGGGCACTAATTCTTTGTATCTTTAATTCTGCAAGCAATTTGTTCGCACCATATTTCGGTCTATTTCTAAATATTTCTGTTTGCGACCACCGCCTTTTTTGTTTTCGCTTTTTAGCTGATAAAGCGTAATGACTATAAATGTACGCTGCTGCAGCGATATCCATTTTAAAATCTGACTAAAAATTGGAACGCGGCAATGGTTGCAACCCGAGGTACGGAATGTTGTTCGAGGCTCGCGACGTGGTACGGTTGCGCGACGTGGTACAAATCTGGACGCGGCTTAGTGCCGTTTCAGATGAAGCGTAGAACGCGCCCTACGTCCTGCGCCGCGCGATTTAGTGCCGTTTCACATGAAGCGTATGACGCGCCCTACGCCAGAAACTCGGTTGGCATCGAGTTTAATTGTACATTTCAGATGCGGGCGTGTACGCGCGCGTGAAATTTACAGCGCGGGCTAGCGCGTGGCCCGTACGCCCGACGTAGCTACGTTAGGCGTTTGGGCATGGTGGTGATACGTGCTATTCACATGCTGCGTCGCGCGTTGGCTGGAGAGCCGGTTTTATTCATACGCATTTATGCAAATGCACTCGACCGACATGGAGTTAAATATTGATACAGAACTATTAATAAGTGCAGTACACGAAAACAAAAATATATGGGATACTTCGGACGAATATAAAAACCGAAACTGTAGGCAAAAGGCGTTGCTTTAATTGAGAATTTTGATGACTTACCGGAAAAGGAGAAAAAGGACAAATACAGGGTGACAAATGCACCTTTTAGTAACCGTTGTTCCACAATTGGATGTACCCAAAGTAGTTTTTTTCGTTCACGGGTTTTATTAATTAGGCAATACGCAGAAATGGCAACAACGCCTGGTGTGTATCGAGACACGTCTATACTGATACCGCTTCATGTGAAAACAAAACCGACCGATCCTAAAACGCGCGGCGCAGGACGTAGGGCGCGTTCTACGCTTAATCTGAAACGGCACTTAGGATCGGTCGGTTTTGTTTTCACATGAGGCGGTATCAGTATAGACGTGTCTCGAAACACACCAGGCGTTCCCAGATAGCACAAGAGGTACCCAGGACGTCCATTTCGGGTCCCACATAGGTCCGAACGTCCTAGACCTATATAGGAAGTTTTGGGTACGTCCAGTCTCTTACTTATTTGGGAAAATTATAGCGGATATACTGGGTACGTCCCAAGGACGTAATTGAAGCATTGTATTTCCAAAGGGTCTAAGTGCTAAGTTGGTTAAATAATATATTATCATTTAAAAATAGTTTGTGTCATGCAGAATGACTTAATAGTATATTCTGTAACAAGTTTGGAATACAGCATATCCGCTCGAGTGAAGAGTTTGTCACACGAGCCGAAGGCGAGTTTGACGGTTTCAGGAGAGCGGAATATGCAATTCCAAACGTGTTTCAGACATTTCAACATTTACATGTGCAAAATATTTGTTTTTCATTGATAACTCACAATTTTATTTTTGTAACTTAGACCCCCCTGTTGAAAAACATCTTACTGAGGTCACAATATGACATCTTAGAGAAATCATTTTTAGGAGCTCAAGATTAAGAGTTCTTGATGAATTCATAAATAAGAAGTAAATTTTTTAACATCTTAAAGTATCTTTTTTTCTGACCTCTTATTGGAATCAAAATTAGAAGCTACTAATAGGCCTATTCCCTTTCTTGCTGTTCGTAAACATCGATTTCTTAACATGTATGTTCACCCAACGACAAGCCAAACATCACCTATGTTTAAGGTTATTCTGTTTCTCGTATGTTGAGAGTCTTGACCTTGAATCTTGAATCACTTTTAGTGTATTGAAAATGGCAAGAAAACTACGCATTTCTAATATGGAGACTGGCAATGTCGGGGAGCCAGTAAAACAACTTAATTACTTTAAGGATAAATTACTAGCCCTAATAGAGGAAGCGCTGTGAAAGTTAGTGGTGGAGGGTAAGGTGGAGGTAATACCATCGTTGGAACTCTTCATTGACCAACCTTTAAGGTCGGGTGGAAGGGCCCCTTCTACAACAGAGAGGCATAAAGAGAAAGTCCAACTCAAACTCTGATGAGTAGTGAAGGTGTATACACCTATAAACCTCTATAGAGGTTTTACAAGGTATTGATAAAACCTAAAAGATTTTAAAATTAAACCAAAAAGTTTTAGCTCGCATGTGAAAAAAAAGTGTTTTTAGATGCATATTTTTTGTATTTTATTAGTTATACTTTTCTTTGACTAATATTTTGTCTATATTTTTGAGTAATAATATTACATATGTACCTATATAGGTATTTGATATTTTATATTTGTTGTATTTTTTTAATAAAATATATTTTTCCAAGTTATTTTTTATTCTACCAATAAGCACAATCCACACATGTGGATTGTGCCAATAAGTATATATATAGTTTTAGAGGTCGTTTTTAGACACTCTTGTAACATATAAGTCTTGACCTTCCTCCCCCCAAATTCTCTCTTCACACTCAGATTTTTTTAATTTTCTGCACTAAACATAGGCTCATATGTTACGAAACATATGTAGTTCATGAACAATGTTCATTGAACATGCATGTTTAGCGAAAGGGAATAGGCCTCTAAGGGTAGGTATCATAAATAAGACTTTAGTTATATGATATCTTACAGTATTTTCTTTTCTTACTTCTTACTGAAATCATATTATTAATTCTTTAAAGACGTCAACATGGAGACGTCACATTTATGACATTTTAATGCGATTCTTTCTTCTCACCGCTGTAACTGCTTGTGTTTGATATAAGAAGCGGCGAAGTAGAATTTAGAGCGTGCTCCATACCAAACGGTCTTAGACCTAGGTAAACGGCTACCCGATACTGACGAGCTCCAAAAGAGGGAAACAGGGCATCTATCGGTGCCGGTGAAGAGCACGATTAAATTTAAACAAAAGTGAGACGAATTAATCGCAATTCCCAAAATAAGCGAATACGAGCAAATTATTAAAATGATTTTAATAAAATCCATTTAACAAATTAATAAAATACGTCATATTGCTGTCTGGGCCTTTGGGAATACCACTCTTCAATTCTGTAAAGCTTGTCCATTAGTCCCCAATAAAGCATTTCAGGATGGCCAGAGGATGTCTTACTTAGGACGTTCTGGGGACCGACGATTTGATAACATCGGATGTCCCTGGAACGTCCTGGGGAAGGTTCAGGACCTGATTCGGACGTACTCGGAACTTACTAATGTCTGATACAAGATATACTCAGGACGTTTTTAGTACTTCTTTGTGCTATCTGGGTTGTTGCCATTTCTGCGTATTGCCTAATTAATAAAACCCGTGAACGAAAGAAACGACATCCAATTTCGGTTTTTATATTCGTCCGAAGTATCCCATACATTTTTGTTTTCATGTACTGCACTTAATAGTTCTGTATCAATATTTAACTCCATGTCGTTCGAGTGCATTTGCATAAATGCGTATGAATAAAACCGGCAATTCAGCTCTCCAGCCAACGCGCGACGCAGCATGTGAATAGCACGTATCACCACCATGCCCAAACGCCTGACGTAGCTACGTCGGGCGTACGGGCAACGCGCTAGCCCGCGCTAAAAATTTCTCGCGCGCGTACACTCCGCGCGTACACGCCCGCATCTGAAATGTACAATCAAACTCGATGCCAACCGAGTTTCTGGCGTAGGGCGTAGGGCGCGTCATACGCTTCATGTGAAACGGCACTTAAGCTTGCACAAAGCACCCCGCGACGTGGCGATGGAGCAAGGTTCTTTTGTCAGCTTTACAATACCGAAACAACGTTACACCGCCATAAACTGCAGAATCCTCTGGAGAAGGATCTACTTTCTACCAAAAACATATACGTAAACGTATACTTAGTATTAAAGTTTTTTTAATTTAATTATTCAAGTTAATTTTTGAAAACATAATTATTTTTTTTATGAAGTAAAAATAAATATAATTTATGTATTTTTTATCATGATTTACTATGGAAATATGAATATTTCCACAACAATCCTATATATTCATTCTAAAAATGTTTCCTTGCGTAAATCAGGAACAATCGATTGGATCAGACCGTTATTATTTTATAGCAATTTTAAGGAACAAGCGGACAATTTATTAGGCTAAGAATATTCCTGTTAGGAATGTGATCTGGGATATGTTTCTCGGTTGTTAACTTAGGAATTAATAAATTTATTTGTTCTGCGCTTGGATTTGAACCGTTTTAACTTGTTTGCTTTGCTGTAAAGTTGCAGGAATTTAGCCACAAGGATTTTTGTAACCTTCACGTAACAAATAGAACATTCAGTAACATTGTAGGAATATAATTTTTCCCAGTGGAGAGTATGCCTTTAACCTGGGTATAACAAATTTTGGAATAAAACAATTGTTTTTTACAAAATTTTATAAGTACAAAACATATAAATAGATAGGCACCTATTTGAAAATAAAAGATTTAATAAATAAAAAATTAAAACCGTTATAGGTATAGGTTATTCATATTTACAATTTTTACAAGTTTACCTAAAGGCATTTAAGACTTAAATAAAAATGCAAGAAATATTTTGCAATTGTCAAAAAAATATCTTATTAACAGTCTTGCTTTTTAACAAAAAAATTATTTATTTTGAGATTTGGAATAATTTAAAGTACAAGTAAAATAATTTTAACTAAACTGTTTTGTTTTAATTCCTAAATTAAGTTTAAAATGCATAAAAGTGAAAAAATGCCAGGTAAGTATTTAACAGTTCTGAATTTTAAGTTCGTTTCTTAAAATTTTTCCACTGGGATTTCTTGGGATACTTTCAACAAACTTTACGCCTCCTGCTAATCTTTTGTAATGTGTTACTTTTAAATTAACATATTTAGTTATGTCCTCTTCAGTGATGTCAGAATCTTTTCTTTTCACAATAAAAGCTCTTGGAACTTCTCCGGCTAAAGTGTCTGGAATACCTACTACCGCCGCATCAGCAATGCCGTCCAGTCCTAGTATTAAATTTTCTAATTCAGTAGGTGAAACCTAAAAATAAAATAAATGTTTATCAAAAATACATTATATTTGTCAAAATTATTTTATTTTAATTTTAGTGGGATAATTTTTTTTACGTTATTTGCAATGTTTACCTGTTTTCTATGAAATATTGATTTAAATTATTCCTAGCGCCCTTAATCAATATAAAATTTTCTATTTAGGCCAAAATTTAAGCGAGCTAACTAATTTTATCAAATGCAATTAGTAATTATTAGGTATTTAAATCTTAAAAATTTTTTTTTGAGAATCGTTTAGAAAATTTAAAGACCTTTTGAACAAGGTATCATATGGCCTATATTGCCATTGAATATTTTGTCTTGTCTTGGTTTTCCTTTCCAACCCTCGAAAGAGTTTCATTTTTTATCGATCATGCTTTTAAAGGTGACCAGTGACAGTTTTCGGTGGGACACATATCATCTACCGGTGATATATAGGGAAAATACATTGTCAAGTGAACCAGATAAGACGCGGTAAACGCAAAAATCTTTTAAAACTACTCTTGGACAAGTATGTCAAGTGGATCAGATAAAAAACGGTCAATAGTATTGACCGTGACTCATAACTAAGCGAAGAATTTTTTAAATACAGTTTGACATGTGTGGCCGACGCCAGATTTGATGCACATTTGGAGGCGCTTTTTAGAGCATTTCTCTTAAAAGTAATTACTCGATTTCCTAAGGCTATATAACTTTATGTTCAATACTTAAAATCCGCTGTCTTAAACCAAAACTTTAAAAACTCGTAGAGCGGCCTTCAGGCTTCAAAATCCCAAAAAATGGGGCCAATGCTTAGGTCACTTTTTTAAAGTTTATTTGACTTGTGACGTCACGACAATCCGTTTTTAAGGGTGACGCAGCAATTACGGTTTTTTGTAAAATACGTGTATACGTATAAATTTATATATATATATATATATATATGTATATATATATATATATATATATATATATATATATATATATATATATTTACATCTTCAATTATTACGGCCTCATACAATAGACAAGTTTATCGGCCTCACCCAGATGGAGCGTAACCAGCGAATGTCATGTGTCATGTATATTCAATTTCAAAGTATTCTAAGCATATCCCGCGCACTTAGAAATCCGTATCTTTAATTTTATGGTATACATTTTTAACCATCTTTCATACTTAAAAACCTCTTACTAAATAACTAACATTGTGGCTTCAATTTGTGTATATATTTTTTAAATAGCGACATTATAAACTCATGTATATACAATACAGCCTCATACATGGTTGCCAAATCTTATTAGATTGTTAAATGCATTCAAATTAATGAATTGAATTTCCTGCTTTCATCTAACGGCCATTTCAAGCGCGCAAAACGAACGAATTTCAAAACTGTTTTAAGAACTGGGAGGTGAGCAAGATCAAGGATCATCCTTGTACTCGCCCAGTAATTGGTAACAAAAAATGGTCCTTCGAACCACCAGCCCTTGGTAGCACAGTCCAGGAAGTGGTGAACAAACATTGGTCCTACGCCCAAACAAGCGACGTAGGAATCTACAGGCACCCAGCCAACAAATCAACAGGGATTTACAACCCCAAACAAGTGACCTACGCCCAAACAAGCGACGTAGGAATCTTAGGCACCCAGCCATCAACACAACAGGGATTTACGACCCCTTCGAACCACCAGCCCCTTGGTAGCACAGTCCAGGAAGCGGCAACAAACATTGAACCACCAGCTCCTTGGTAGCACAGTCCAGGAAGCGGCAACAAACATTGAACCACCAGCCCTTGGTAGCACAGTCCAGGAAGTGGTCCTTCGAGCAACCAGCCCTTTGATAGCCCAGTCCAGGAAGCATCAAGAAATAAAGCCATGGAAAAATTTGAAGAATTCTGTAAGGCCCAAGAAGGCATTAACAACGAAATTAAAAAAATTTTGTCTAACATGAAAAAAGATGGTCCAAGCAGAAAAACGAAGCAATACCTTAACGAACGAATGGATAAGGTATCAGAGCTATTGGACAAGGCCAAGAAGAATCACGAAATGATGACAAGTTGTGGCGTCAAGACTCACGAATACTTTACATCGAAATTCATTAACCAGATCGAGTCAAACACCACTGAGGCCACGAATTACATCTTAAAGTGTTCAGAAGAGGTTCAAAATTCCCAGGCACCAAACATCTCTCCACAAACCGATGCTAATCAGATGCGTCGCGTGAAGGAACTAGGCTTTCGCATAACAGACGTACAAGAAGTCCTTGATACCACACGGAACAGTATGAGCGACATGTCTGCTGTTCAAATTGAATGCCAACTTCAGGAAATTCGGAAGCAGTGGGATATGGTATCTAATCTTCACATGGAAGTTAGAGTAAACCACGAAGATGAGTCCATGTAACCCTTGCACGACCAATTTCAACAACTGAAGTCAGAGTACAACCAGGTACTCATGGCAATGGTTCAACGAACTACAACAAACACAAAAGTAACTGATTCAACGATCAAGTCAACAATCAAACTGCCAACCCTGCAGATTCCTACATTTGGAGGGAAATACGAAGAATGGGGCACCTTTCAGGACATCTTCACAAAGGCAATCCATGAAAATATCACGATTCCGGAGGTTGACAAGATGCACTACCTTAAAACGTACACAAAGGGAGAGGCAAGTCGACTGATCCAACACTTTGAAATAACTGAAGCTAACTACAAATCTGCGTGGGAAGTGCTTCAGAGAAGGTATCACAACCAACGGTTAATTGTGACTACTCTTATAAACAAGATATTGGACATTCCAGTAATGCACAAAGAATCGGCAAAAGAGCTAAAAAATTTACACGACACTACGATGGAGTGTCTACAAGCCATCACCATGTTGAAAGTTGACACGACATGTTGGGGACCATTGGTATTGTGCATTCTAACCAAAAAAATAGATGCACATACTAATGAACTTTACGAAGCCACATTTCAAAATCCATTGGAACTCCAGAAACTCTCCGACTTTCTGGCGTTTATCTTACGACGTTTCCAATCCCTTGAAGCACAGCCCAAAGCAAAGTTCATGGAAAGGGATCATCATTCAGGGAAAGAAAACTTTGCCCGCCACAACAGCAAACTTTCCTGCAAGTATTGCTCCGAAGAACACCAAATCAATTATTGTTCAAAATTCAAGGCTTTATCCACCGTTAATCGAAGAAAACATATAAGAGAAAAGAAGTTATGCTATAACTGTTTAAACCATGATTTCAACACGAAATGTAACTCCACAAGGACATGCATGATATGTAAACAAAATCATCACACATTGCTTCATCAAGAGCCATTACCAGATAAGCGAGCAAACAAGGATGGAGCAGCAAAATCAAATTCAACTACGACTGCTGTTACCAACCACATCCAAGAAGACAACAAGACGGTTCTCCTAGCAACTGCACTAATTAAGGTGCAGGCCAATCAACATACCTATGAAAACCTTCGTGCACTGATTGACCCAGGGTCCCAGGCGTCATTTATCACAGAAGAAGCTTGTAATCTGTTGGGATTACCAAAACAGAAAATCACAGCCAAGATAAGTGGTCTTGGTGCAGAAACAACCGAATGCAAGTACAAAATCACAGCAGCCTGCAAGCCAAGGACATCAAACGCATACAAATTCTCCACAGAGCTGTTGGTTATTCCCAAGATAACCAATACAACCCCGTCCAAGGAAATCAAAACAAACATGAATCAGTGGAGCAACTTTCATCTTGCCGATCCAACCTTCTATAAACCAGGTCCAATAGACGTACTCCTAGGTGCCCAAGAATACCAAGACATCCTATTAGAAGGCATAAGAAAAACTAAAAATGGCCTCCTAGGCCAAAACACTGAGCTGGGATGGATCATATATGGTACATCCAGATCAAGCAACGAAAATGTAGAGTTATTGAGTATGGTATCAAAAACAGAAGAAAATGCCCAAATATCCAAGTTTTGGGAGCTAGAAGATATAACAGAACAAAGGCAGCTCACTGAAGACGAAAAGAAGTGCGAGTCCATCTACGATAGTTCCACTACAAGGGACGAAGACGGTAAATACACAGTACGGATACCATTTGCAACGCAGCCGGAAAATGTTTTTGGTGAATCCAGAGGAAGGGCGTTAGCAAGATTTTTCCAACTTGAAAAGCGCTTTGAAAAATACAACAAACTAGGCAATGAATATAAAAAATTCATGCAAGAATACATCGATCTGGGACATATGGAGATTGTTCCAATTAAGGAGAACCACCAAGGAAGATACTACATTCCCCACCAGGCAGTTGTCAAGGAATCAAGTACTACGACAAAACTAAGGGTAGTATTTGATGCTTCCTGTAAAACAACTAGTGGAATAAGCCTCAACGACTGCATGCTGACTGGCCCACGCTTACAACAAGATTTGCTAGACATACTGCTACGCTGGCGTTGTCATAAGATTGCAGTTTCTGCGGATATAGAAAAAATGTATCTGCAGATCTCAATTTATTCCGACGATCAAGAATACCACCGAATTCTCTGGAGATTCTCACCGCAAGAGCCAATCCGAGAGTACAGATTGACAACTATAACCTATGGAACCGCATCTGCCCCATACTTAGCGGTCAGAACCATGCAGCAGTTAGCGAGGGATGAAAAACCGAAATTTCCAGTTGCTTCCGAAGTTGCCCTTAAAGATTTTTACGTTGATGACCTGCTCTCGGGAACGGATTCGGAAGAGGATGCCATCAAACTACAGAACCAATTAATCGAAATGTTTAAATCCGGAGGTTTAACGTTAAGGAAATGGTCAAGCAACAACTTTGGAATCCTTCAACACTTGCCCAAGGAATTGAAGGACGAAACGGCTCTTGAAATCAAGATGGATGATGTAAAAAAATCCCTTGGAGTATCATGGGCTCCCCATGGCGATACAATCAGCTTTAAGGTCAACCTACCTAAGAAGTTACCAATCACCAAAAGAAGTATCTTATCGGATACAGCCAAATTAT